CCAGAGCGTATGAGTGTTTTTAATACATGGTTAGTTGTAGTAAAATGCCCATAACTTCGAAGTTTTTTGGTCGATTTTTAAACGGAAAACTGATATTTAAAGAAGACATATTGGGGCGTTTTATTGTTCTTGACAGGAGCAAGGAAAAATGTAGGAAAAAATCGTAAAAAGTTAAGAACTTATAAAAAAATTGAATTCGGAATTTGTAAAAGTTTGAACGACTTCAGTAACTTTGTCTTCTAACCTTAACTTCTGTCAGATAACCTTAAAATTGTTGTAAACTCTACCCCCCAAATAGCCGTTAAATATTCTGTAAGCTCCCAATTCATGCCGTCAAAACCATCATTGAGGAAATTCTTTGAAAGTTCCTTCAAAAAAATTCTTGAAAATCCCATATTTGGATTACAATTAGAAAACCTCCAATGACATTGAGAATCGCTGAAGGCTCCGTAATGCAGCTCCTAAAAAAATCCCCCCCGAAACTTACCTCCTTTGCAATAAAGTGAGTATTTTTATTTTCTGTACCCCAGATCGTATGAGTGTTTTTAATACATGGGTAGTTGTAGTAAAATGCCCATAACTTCGACATTTCTTGGACGATTTTTAAACGGAAAACTGATTTTTAGAGAAGACATGTTGGGGAGATTTATTGTCTTTGACCTCAAAGGCCGATACCTCATAGGAAAAGCTGTAAAAATAGGTGAAATTTGAAAAATTATAAAACAAGAAATATAAAAAATTGTGGCGGCCTTTAAATAAATATCTCAGAAATTCCTATCAAATGAACTTGAAAACGCCATTGAAATATCCATGCTTAAGCTCCTCCTAATAACCATGAAAATTCCTTAAAATATCCTTGTTTTTAAACCTCTAAATGGCCTTGGAAAATTTTCCGAAAAATCAAAAAAAAAAAAAAATCTATTAAAAATCTTTTTAAATCTTTTTTTATTGTAGAAAGTGAATGGGAGTCCAAACAGAACTATGTCACTTGTATTAGCCACTAACGAAAAGAAACATTCTGTGGCCCCTTTGTAACTCCTCCCCATAACCTCTTCCTCTGAAGTAAGGCAAGACAAATGTGTCGCCCGTCGACTTAATTTCATTTAATTTTTGTTTGACAACATTTGAAATCTTGCCAAAATCTGTTGGAAAAAAAGAAAACTATTTTGTTTGTCAAAAGTTCAGGGTTCTTGTCCTCCTTCCCTTTCCCTCTCTTCATACCCTCGCCCTCACTCTTCTCACCCGTAAGTTCTCAAAGAAAGTGAAACTTGCTTTTGGGGCTGCATTGTAAAAAGAGACCAAACTGCCATCTAAGGTAAAAAAATAAAAATTTAGCATGGAAAAGGGGAGGTGAACCGAGGGGAAGCAGTTTGCAATAAATGCATGCCAACCGCCCCTAGAAAAAAATAATCACAAATTTTACAAAAAATTAACTCAATGCAGAACTCGGCAATTGAAAACAAAACGAAAATATTTCTCTACCGTGGAAAAAATGCAAACTGCAGGGAAAAATTTTAAATGGGGGTAGAAGCAAAAACGAAGAAGAATGGCAAAAAATATCAACGTACAAAGTTAGTACAAACCTCCCCTCCAAAAAAAAAAAAAAAAAAAAAAAAAAAAAAAAACGGAAGCCAAGCATTGATGACGACAATGTCGAAAGTCTAGTTGGCTGCAGACGTTTTTTTTTTTGAGGAAAGTAATATTTGTGTATTTGTCTTGTATAGCTTTATCATACATTTTTTTGTTCTTTTCTTCTTTGTCTTCGTTTTTAGCGACGTTTTTTTTTTTGGTTTTTGGTTGAAACTAAGCCAAAAGTGCAGTAGCAGCACGTTTGACGTCCCAGACATTTTGGCGTTGAACGAACAATTTCGTTTCGAGAATTGTTTATGGTTTCGATTTTGATTGCATTTGTATACGGAGATGGCGAGGAGGAGGAGGATTGGGGTTGGGGTACAATTGAGGAGGAAATTTTTTGTTATAAGTAGGCATTTAATAGTTTGGAAAAAATTCGCCACGTTTTCTAGTGCCAGCCGTTGAGACAATTGGTCGCTTTCGATAAAAAGGGTTATGCAGAAGAATGAGAAATTTGGGGTGGGAGTGGAGGACAATTGTTGGGGATTTCTCATACAAAGTAAGGATATGGGAGGTTTGCGGATACAGTTTTCAGACGAAATTTAATAATTCTTTCCAACCCAACGCCCCTTTCTAATATTTCTTCAAATAACCTTGAACTTTCGAATAACAGCCAAATGTTTAGGTCATTATTTACAGAGCAATAAATATGGCCCACAAAGAAATCAGAAACAGCTGTTGTAGACATCAGGCCACTTAACTCGATGCGACTTTCAAAAAGATACAATGGAATACATTTTTCTATAGATTTATTTTTTTCAACTAACGGCCTTCAAAATTTCATTGAAATTTCAAGCAATGATCTCCTCTAAATAGCCTTGAAATTCCAAGCACTCAAAATAGACTTGAATAGTGAAACGTTATAAAATATGCTATTAATTTCTCAAAAAATTCAAACTAAAAGTCATCCTCTTCGCCATGAAATTGAATTTTTATTTTGGGATCCTTAGGGCGTATAAGTATTATTAATACATGGGTACTTCCAATAAAATGCCCATAACTTCGAGATTATTTAGAAGATTTTTGAAAGGAAAATTGCTTTTGAAAGGAGACACATTGGGGCTCTTTATTGTCTTTGACATCGAGGCAGAAATTCGGTTAGAAAACTCAAAGTATGGTAAATTTAACCAAACGTTTGGTTTCCTTGAAATTACTTGGAAAGAATTCTAAAAAAATATGTTCCGAGTACTCAAAATAGCCTTAAATATTGAAACTTTAAAAAAAATGCAATAAACTTCTCAAAAAATTCAAACAAATAGTCATCTCCTTCACCATGAAATAAAAGTTTTATTTTGGGCCCACTAGAGCGTATGATTATTATTAATACGTGGGTAGTTACAATAAAATGCCCATAACTTCGAGATTATTTAAGCGATTTTTGGACAGAAAATTGCTTTCGAAAGGAGACACAATAGGGCGTTTTATTGTCCTTGACATAGAGGCAAAAATCCCGTTAAAAAACTCAAGGTGTGGTAAATTTACCCCAACATTCTATCTCTTTGAAATTACTATGCAAAAATTCTAAAAAATCCAATTCCAAATACTCAATAAATAAATTCAATAAATTTCTCGAAAAATCCAAACAAAAAGTCATCTCCTTCGCCATGAAATAAAAGTTTTATTTTGGGCCCACTAGAGCGTATGATTATTATTAATACGTGGGTAGTTGCAATAAAATGCCCATAACTTGAAGATTTCTTTGTCGATTTTTAAGCGGAAAATTGGTTTGGAAAGGGAACATATTGAGGCTCTCTATTGCCTTTGGATTGGAGGCAGTTAAATTATTAGAAACAATGGAAAAATTGAAGAATTTTTTCAAATTGATGCACAACCTTTGAAAGTTTTGGAAAACCTTCAGCAAAATAACAAAAATAGGCCCAGGGAAATTGCGTTGAAAATCTACATTGGGACACCATCAAAAAGCCTTGAAAAATCCTCGTCCGAAGTTCGAAAAATTTACTTCCTTCTCACTAAAATTAATTGTTTTTTCTAAGACCACTAGAGCGTATGAGTATTATTAATAAATGGGTAGTTGCAATAAGATGCCCATAACTTGGAGATTTCTTTGCAGATTTTTGAACGAAAAATTTCTTTCGAAAGAAGATACATTAAGGCTCTTTATTGTCTCTGGGCTAGAGGTAGATAATTTATGAGAAGAAATGGAAAAATTGAAGAATTTATGCAAATTGATTCACAACCTTTGAAAGTTTTGGAAAACCTTAAGCAAAATAATCCAAATGGTCCCATGAAAATTGCGTTGAAAATCCACATTGGGACGCCTTCAAAAAGACTTAAAAAATCCTCGTCCGAAGTTTGAAAAATTTACCTCCTTCTCACTAAAATGAATTGTTTGTTATAAGTCCACTAGATCGTATGAGTATTATTAATACATGGGTGGTTGCAATAAAATGCCCATAACTTCGACATTTTTTAGACGATTTTTAATCCAAAAATTGCTTTGGAAAGAGGACATATTAAGGCTCTTTATTGTCTCTGGGCTAGAGGCAGATAATTATAAGAAAAAAATTTTAAATTTAAGAATTTATGCAAATTTATTTACAACTTTTGGAAGTTTTGGAAAACCTTTAACAAAATAATCCAAATGGACCCATGCAAATTGCCTTGAAATTCTACATTGGAACACCTTCAAAAAGCTTTGAAAAATCCAAGTTCGGAGTTTGATAATGTTAACTCCATTTCACTAAAATGAACTGTTTTTTTCTAAGTCCACTAGAGCGTATGAGTATTATTAATAAATGGGTAGTTGCAATAAGATACCCATAACTTAGAGTTTTCTTTGTCGATTTTTAAGCGGAAAATTACTTTGGAAAGAGGATACACTAAGGCTCTTTACTGTCTCTGGGCTAGAGGCAGATAATTTATGAGAAAAAATTGAAAAATTAAAAAAAAATATGCAAATTGATTTACAACTTTTGGAAGTTTTGGAAAACCTTTAGCAAAATAATTCAAATTGATTCATGGAAATTGCTTTGAAATTCCACATTGGAACACCTTCAAAAAGCCTTGAAAAATCCACGTTCGAACTTTGAAAATATTACCTCCTTTTCACTAAAGTGAACTGTTTTTTTCTAAGTCCACTAGAGCGTATGAGTATTATTAATACATGGGTGTTTGAAATAAAATGCCCATAACTTAGAAATTTCTTAGTCGATCTTTAAGCCGAAAATTGCTTTGGGAAGAGGACATATTAAGGCTCTTTATTGCTTTTGGTTCGGAGGCAGTTAATTCACAAGAAACATTGAAAAAAAGTATGAATTCATGTAAATTGTTTCACGATATTTATTGGAAAATCTTTTTTTCTTTCGATTTTTAATCAATTTTTCTCATGTTTTTTTCTTTCTTTCCAGGAAAAACGACCATTTGAATATGCTGCTGAGGTAAATAGAAATTCCTGGACCCAGAATATGTAAGCAATATATCACTTCTTTGTAAGGGAATTTTTATATCCATCTCTTTTTTTCTTTTTTTGTTTTCAATTTATTTTCCATTTATTTAGCCATTTTCTGAAAATGCAATTCAGCAATTTGTTGTTTAAAAAAAAAAAATCCAGCCAAAATCATTTTGTTTTACTCCAATGTTTGTTCTTCGTCCATTTCGTACGCTCGAGGGCCATGAATGGACCTCCCACGAAACAGGGGGTCCCAGTGGCAGACAGGTGGTACTTGGACCAGACAAACAAACCTGAAAAATAGATTTATTTTCAATTTTCAAAGGAAAATTGTTTTCCCCCACAAAAATTGCTCAAGAGAAAATCATGAGAGTAGGGGAGAGGAGAGGATAAGAGAAGAGAAAACAAATTCTCCAGGAAAACCACCAAAGTTAACAGAGTAGCCATTACAGATTGCTTACAAAGGTTAGCCACCAAGTGAAGCTAAGGATGATGATGTTGGTTGGTTGGCTGGAAGTCTGGCGGTTTTTTTTTTATTTTTTTGGAAAATAAATAAAATATTTGTTGTTTGTCTACAAAGGGGGCCACCATAAATTACTTAGCCAAGGCAATGTTGTGGATAATGCCATAAAGCCATTAAAATGAAACTTAAAACCAATTTCTTAGAAAAAATTCAGATGCAGAGGGAAAGGAGGTCGGTCTACTGACCACCAAACTCAAATGGGGTTATGTGGGAAAATTGAAAAAAAAAAAAAAATAATGGGATGTGTGAAGAGAGCCGGATGCTTATTTCAGATTTAAAATCGTTCTGGTTAATCAAAACTTTGATCCTTTGTGGGGGAGGTACCAGAAGGAATGGTCCGATCTCTACCATATTTACAACAGATCTTGTGTTGATAGAAATATTGAGATGTGCCAAGTCAGAATGGAATCGGATGTCAATTTCGTGTTTTATGAGCTTTATGGTTATTCAAAATTCTGATCCTTTGTGGGGGAGGTACCAGAAGTAATAGGCTGATATATTCCATATTCACACCAGATCTTAAGTTAATAAAAGTATTGTGATGTGTGAAATTTGATGAGAGCCGGATGCTTAATTCGGAATTTATAATTGTTTTGGTTATTCAGAACTTTGACCCTTTGTGGGGGAGGTACCAGAAGGAATGGTCCGATCCCTACCATCTTTATAACAGATCTTGTGTTGATAAAAACATTGCGATGTACCAAGTCTGAGTGGAATCGGATGTTAATTTCATGTTTTATGAGCTTCATGAATACTCAACATTTTGACCCTTTGTGGGGGAGGTACCAGAAGCAATGGTCCGATCTGTCCCATCATTATAGCAGATCTTGTGTTTACGGAAATATTAGGATGAACCAAGTCTGAATGGAATCGGATATTAACTTTGCGTTCTATGAGCTTCGTGGATATACAAAATTTTGACCCTCTGTGGGGGAGGTACCAGAAGCAGTGGACCGATATATCCCATCTTTACACCAGACCTTGGGGTAATCAAAATATTGTCATGTGTGAAATATGAAGTGAACCGGATGCTTATTTCGAATTTTATGATCGTTTTAGTTATTCAAAATTTTGACCCTTTGTGGGGGAGGTACCAATAGAAATGGCCCGATCTCTACCATCTTTTTAACAGATCTTGTGTTGATGAAAATATTGCGATGTACCAATTCTGAATGGAATCGGATATCAATTTCGTGTTTTATGAGCTTCGTGGATATTCAAAATTTTGACCCTTTGTGGGGGAGGTACCAGAAGCAGTGGACCGATATTACCCATTTTCTTACCTGACTTAGCATTTATGCAAATATTAGGATTTGCAAAGTTAGAGCATAATCGGATTATCCTTTCCCGGTTTGTGCAATAAAATATTTCTTTGAAAATTTCAAACATTTGTGGGAGAGGTACCAGAAGCAGTGAACCAATATTGCCCATCTCCGAACTCAATCTAAGTTTGATAATAATATTACGATGTACGAAGTTTGAACCATATCGGATACTCCCTTCGAAAGTTACTGTGCGCACCAGCCAGGGAGACGGACTGACGAATATCGCCTGATCGACTCCAAATGTCCTGAAACGGATTTGTTCCAAAGTGACCTATTGTCTAAAACCGTTATTTCGATGAGGCACGTTTTGGCCATATAAAAAATTTTGAAATTTAAATCGGAAGCACATTTTTTATACCCTCAGCCATATCGTCTGTAGCCATATGGCTGAGGGTATAAAAATGTGCTTCCGATTTAATTTTCAAAATTTTTGTGATATGCCAAAACGTGCCTCATCGAAATAACGGCTTTAGACAATAGGCCCCTTTGGAACAAATCCGTTTCAGGACATTTGGAGGTATCAACAATGAGTTTTAGCCCTCCACGACCACCTTATGCTAAAAGCAATACATTTAATACCTTTTGGTACTTTTTGTGTCTGTTCAAAATCCGCCCGTTACTGGCGGTACAATATTTAGTACATTTTAGTAACTTTTAGTACCAGTTTTCAAAACGCCTTTTCGGTAACCCTTTTTTCGGAAAACATTAAAAAAAAACAGTAAAGAAAGTCCTAAAGTCGGGCGGGGCGGACTTTATGATACCCTACACCACTTTGCTAGTTTAGTAGAGCTCCGCATAACAATTAAAAGTTTTTATGGGAGAATTCTATCACCCACGCTATGATTATAATTATAATTTCAAGTTCAAAGGACTAAATATGCCGAAGCATTTGTATCTTTTAAATTCGGACTTGTATTGCCCATTTGGTGCAAAATTAATTTGAAATCAGATAAAGATATATATGGGAGCTATATCCATATCTGAAACGATATCGAAAAAATTTGGTAAAGATATTTCTGAGCTGCATTTGATATATTTCCCCAAATATTGTTGTTACAGAGTGCATATTACGGTTGCGGAGGACAAAAATCGGACAAATCGGATGAACAATATATATAGGGGAGCTATAGCTATATCTGAACCGATCTTCACCAAATTTGACATACTAGCTTCTAGACTCAATTCGGTGGTATGTGCCAAATTTCATCCAATTTGGACAAATATTAGACGTTTGGTGCACAATAAAAGGTAAATCGGACGAAGTTATATATGGAATCTATATCCAAATTCGAACCGATCTCGATAAAATTTAGCAAAGGTATTTCTGAGCTGCATTTGATATATTTCTCCAAATATTGTTGTTACAGAGTGCATATTGCGGCTGCGGAGAACAAAAATAACAAATCGGATGAACAATATATATGGGAGCTATAGCTATATCTGAACCGATTTCGATTAAATTTGGCATACTTATTTTCAAACCTAATTTGGTTGTATGTGCAGAATTCCATACTATTCGGGCTGATATTACACGTTTGGTGCACAACAAAAAGGCAAATCGGACGAAGTTATGTATGGAAGCTATATCTAAATTTTTACCGATTATCTCCAATTTCAATAGGGTTTGTCCTTGGGTCAAACAAATGATTTGTGCAAAATTTCATCTCAATCGGATAATAAATGCGACCTGCATTTCACAAGAATACATGGACAGACGGACGGACAGACGGACTGACATGCATAAATCAACTCAGAAAGTGATTCTATGGAGATCCTCAAAACTAACTATGGGTCTATCTCGCTTCCTTCTCCATGTTACAAACAAATGCACAAAGACATAACACCCTGACCACCTTGTGGTGTAGGGTATAATTAGATTCCTAGCTCTTTACGATCAATAGCAATGGTACTTTTTAGTACTTTTGTTACTTTTAGCACCAAATAAAAAAAAATCTCCCCAGAATCTACCCTTCCACGACCTCTCAAATACTTGACAAGAACTCCCCCTTCATTTAATCAACTGAAATGCATTCTTCTCTTTCTCTTTTTTTTCTCTTATCCTCTCTCTCTCCTCTCAAACTCTCACGTTGGCAATTTGCAAGCCCATCGGGTACATCGTACAATATTTAGTACATTTTAGTACCAGTTTTCAAAAGCCCATTCGATAACCTTTTTTTCAGAAGACATCAAAAAAATTAGATTTTCAGGTCTTTAGGATCAACATCAATAGTACCTTTTAGCACCTTTGGTACTTTTTGCACCAAATTAAAAAAAATCCCCAGATTCTACCCCTCCACGACCTCTCAATATAATTTTACTATTTTCAAACCACCCCCCTCTGGCCATAAAAAAATACTTGATAAAAATTCCATTCATTCAATCAACTGAAATGCATTCTTCTCTTTCCCCATTTTTTCTCTAGTCCTCTCTTCTCTCACTTTGGCAATTTGCAAGCCCATCGCGTACATCGTACAATATATAGGGTTATATTTTAACCCTTTTTTCAGAAGACATTAAAAAATTAGATTTCCAGGTCTTTACGATCAATAGCAATGGTACTTTTTAGTTCTTTTGTTACCTTTAGCACCAAATAAAAAAAATCTCCCCAGAATCTACCCCTCCACGACCCAGCGTGACCGTTGTGCCACTAAAGTATCAATTTTGCCACTTTTTTTCGGCTTTGATACCGTTGTGCCACTTTTTTATTTTGATCCTAAATGAGCCACTTTTTTGAATTTTTGTGCCACTTTTTTAAACTACATATATTTTAATCTAAACGCTGTATTTAAAATAATGAAAAGCGTCGTACGCTGCCATTTCCAATCAGCGATTGCAAATTTTAGAGCGAACGCTTATATATTAGGTGTTTGTAAGTGGTTTTCGCATGCTCAAAGTTGTCAAAATTGTTGTGTTTGTTTATTTCTGGAACAGCTGTTAAGAGACATTTTTATACCCTCCACGAGGGTATATTAAGTTCGTCATTCCGTTTGTAACTCATCGAAATAATCATTTTAGACCCAACAAAGTAAATATATTCTTGATCAGCGTAAAATTCTAAGACGATTTAGCCCTGTCCGCCCGTCTGTCCGTCTGTTGTAATCACGCTACAGTCAACACGAATTAAGACAGAAAGCTAAACTTAGAGATCCCTCTTTTGCCTGCAGGCAGGT